GCGGGGTTTGGGGGCTGTGACAGCGCAGGGGGGCGTCTGGCCCCGCCGTGGGAGCGCGCGTGTGCGGGGTTGTGGATCTGCAGGTGTCTCGCCTGGGTGTGTGCGTGTGTCTGGCTCCGAGTTTGTGCTGGGGTCCGCAGGGAGTGGTGGTGTCCATCCAGGGGAATGTTTGGGCTGTGGCCCTTCGGGATGTGTGCGTGAGTCCCCGTGCATGTTTGTGTGGAGTGCTGTGTCTGCCCTGCCTAAGGGGTGGGGGCTCTGTTTATGTGTGGGGTACCTGTGTGTGTTCTCTGTGAGAGTTGTCTGTGTGCTGTTTGGGGGTGATTCTATGGGTCTGTGTTGCTTGGGTGTGCTAATGTGTGGTTGTTGTGTGTTGCTTGAGTGAGCTGTGTGTGTTTATATGTGTATCCTGCCTGATGTGTTGTTTGTGTGTGCTCGTGTGTCTTGCCTGTGTGGACTGCCTGTGACTGTGTATATCTCCAGGGCAAGTGTCTCAGCTAAGCATTTGTGATGTGTGCCTGCTGAATGCCGATGCCTGTTTTCTGACCAGGTGTCTGTGAGTTCTGCATGGGTGTGTGTGTGTGTGTGTGTGTGTGTGTGTGTGTGGTGGGGGATTGTCTCAGTTCGGTCTCTGTTTGGCTTGTGTGTCTGGCGTCGGTGTCTGGGAATCGAGGACCGTGTCTCTGTGGGGTCTGTGCAGTACAGTCAGTGGGTGTTGCTGGCAGCCTCTTGCATGGGGCTGTGTCTGAGCCTGTGTGTGTGTGTGTGTTGGGTCTGAGGGGTTTGTCTCTGCGATCGGCTGGCTCATGTGTGTCATGTGGGCTGCGTGTGTGTAGTGTTTATGTCAGTCACGTGAGACCAGTGTTTTGTGTGGGCGCTTTAGGTGTGCGTGCTACCAGGGCTGTGTGGGATTAGAGTTAGCTGCTGTGTGTCGGGGGGCTAACAGTTGGCGATGGTGTTTTGAGGTTGGGGAAGGAGGTTGGGTTGATGCCTGCTGTTCTGCTGTTGTGTCTCTGTGTTGTTGCCGGCATGTGTGGTGATGCGTCTGGGTCTGATGATATGTGTCTGTGTGTGCCTGATTTACATGTGTCCTGGGGTCTAAGAGTTGGTGACAAGTGGGTATGTTGGTCAGTGTCCGTGGATGTCTGTTTTGTGTTGATATATGTGTGAGTCCTGAGGTGTGTATGCCTTATCTCTTGGGTGTGTATGTGTGTTTGAGAAGTGCGTGTTCCTGTCTGTGCTTGTGTTGGCTGCATTGTGTGTGTGTGTGTGTGTGTGTGTGTCCATGGGCATATCAACAGTGGGTCAGTGTGTGAGATTCTGACAGTTTGTATATGGTGGGGGGGCGGCGGGTGGAGGGGATGGGTTGTGCCAGACAGCATGCATTGTTTGTATAACTCTTCTGATGGTCTGTGTGTATGTGTGTGTTCACATTTTGGTCAGTGTTTGTGTGTGTGTGTGTGTGTGTGTGTCCTGTAGACTGAGTGGCAGTGTCCGACACAGGGACCACCTCAATGTTTCTGTGTAAATGGGAGATGAAGTGGGAGGTCAGGCCACACAGTCCTGCCTGAGTCCTTATATGTGTGTGTTGTGTACCCTGCACACACACCCACAAGTTTCTCCATTTGGGTCCTGTGTGAGTCCTTGTGTATGTGCTGGGGGAGCTATCACAGTTCCTGGCTGCCCTCTGTGTGTGCCCATCACTGTGTCCCAGAAGTTAATCCCACCAGCCCATGTCCTGTGTGAACCCCTGTCAGGCTGGGTGAGTTTGTGTTTGGGGCTGTCAATCCTCATGCGCACACACACGCCTGACAGACCCCTGTATCTGAGTCCTGTGTGAGCTCCTGTACTTGCTGTGAGAGCCATCCTGTGCCTCCCTGTCCCTTATGTGTGCCCATCACCAGGTGCTCTGGAGGCTGCACCCTGCTGAGCCCTGGGTCAGCCCCTAGGTGGGTGTGTCTTGTGTGATCATCACACATACACAGTCCCCTCCATCTGGCCCCAGTGTGTGTGGTGGGCGCCATCCCTGCCCTCCATGTGTGCTCATTGCTGTGTGCAGGAGTGGAGGTGCCCTGGGGACCCTGTAGGGGATGTGTATTGTGGGGCCCTGGTGACCTCTGCACTTGCATGCTGACGGAACCCCTCTCTCCCTGTCCTTGCAGACCCCAGGAAGCACCATGGCTCGAGCACTCCAGGAGGGCAGCTCCCCGGAGCCCGTAGAGGGCCTGGCCCGAGATGGCCCTCGCCCCTTCCCGCTCAGCCGCCTGGTGCCCTCTGCTGTGTCCTGTGGCCTCTGCGAGCCCGGCCTGCCCGCCGCCCCCGCTGCCCCTGCCCTGCTGCCAGCTGCCTACCTCTGCGCCCCCACAGCCCTGCCCGCTGTCACTGCTGCCCTAGGGGGCCCCCGCTGGCCTGGGGGTCCCCGCAGCCGCCCCCGAGGCCTGCGCCCAGACGGTGAGTGTCCGCCCCACACAGGGGATGATGGGAGCCGGGAGAGAGACACTGAGGAACTGGCCAAGTGGGAGCGGGTGGAGGGAGGTGGCGAGCTGGCGGGCCACAGGGAGGGTGTGGCCAGTGTGGTCTTTGTGTTGCAAGAAGCAGGAAGACGCTGTAGGAGGCTGGGGGCGGGGGAGGCCGAGTGGGAAGTCCCTCCTGGAATCTGACTGCAGTCCCGGAGTTGCAGCCAGTGGCCTTTTCCCGGCCTGGGGCAACAGCTGTTTCCCAGCCCCTCTCCCCTAGTCTGGGTCCCCTTAGCCCCCTGAGGGTTGTAGTGAGAGAGAGTGTGGGCAGAGGGGGAGGACGGTCACTTCAGGAGGGGTCGAGGGTGGCCTGTTGCCATTATCAGCGTCTTTTTGGCCAGGGCCCGCCCTCTGCACTGTCCCTGAGGAGGAAGGAGGGGGGAGGGGCCATTGTGTTGGG